GATCTCTGTGAGTTTGAGGCCAGCCTGGGCTACCAAGTGAGCTCCAGGAAAGGCGCAAAGCTACGCAGAGAAACCCTGTCTCGAAAAGCCAAAAAAAATAAAAAATAAAAAAATAAAAAAAAATACCAGAAATATCCTAGCACTCCAGAGCAGAAGTAAGCAGATCTCTGAGTTTGAGACCAGCCTGGTCTACAAAGCCAGTTCCAGGACAGTCAGAGTTACACAGAGAAATTCTGTCTTGAAACCTGCTCTCCCCGCCCCCCAAAATCCAAAACACTAGAGGCAACAAACAACATCAGAGGCAGAGTGGTATTTTTACTTAGAATTATGTTCTTTCTTACCCTAAAATACACACAAAACTAAGGAGAAGATCTGGATAGAGTTTGAGTGGATTTCCATGAGTGACAGTTCAACAGCAAAGACAGAAATATTCAGTCCCTTAAAAAGATTCCAGAGGGGAAAGTGGGAACAACTGCTGTGATTGACAGGTGGTATTGCTAGCTGAGATCAGTTGTTTCTATTCCTTTTGAGTTTCTGTATTTTATTTCTGGAATTGTTTTTTTAAAGGAAAGCTGGCAAGATAGCAAATATTTCACCCTGATCATCATCTTAAAGTGATTTCTTTGGATGATTTTGAAGAGTTATAGGGTGTGATGTTTTCATTTTATGTGGAAAGGAACAAAGCTAAGGAGTTATAATGAGTAGAAGCGTGTTGTGCCTTGGAGGGATTGTGAGGGTCAAGGAGTGTGCCAAGATAAGTTTTTCATTCTCCACAAAGGTTACAGTTTTTGAGGCCCTTTCTGGTTACTGAAGGCATTCCCTACAAGGCCAAGCACTTAGTTCAAAGACGCCATATTTCAGAAGGGCGTTTGCATCTTGGAAGGGCATTTCATTTACATTGAAGAGCTGTGTTAGCTCTTGCAACACTGCAACTTAAACCTAGGTAATGCTTCTTGTAACCTGCATGGATGGGCTCACGTTTTCTCTGGCATTCATTCCACCGCCTGGGAATGGCCTATTTGCGTCTCCACCTTTTCAGGTGGATGGTGAGCACCTAATGAGCAGACACTAAATTTTGTTTTCTTTAGTAACTCTAGAATGTAGTCGAGGGCCAAGAACCAACATGGGAATGAGTGAGGAAATAAATCTGGTGCTCTAACAGATTTGATTTGAAAAGAAGGCAAAGGAAAATGGTGGTGTCCATGTTGCTTGGCACTTTTTTCTAGGTGCCAGCTTTACACCCGAGGTGACCTACTTCTCCATCATGGGGTGTTTCCTCAGAGGGACTCCAAGTGCTCCAGCGTCCTTTCAGATTTTAGTGTTACAGGACCATCTCTTCACCAACTTTGTCACATATGTTATGGAAACTACTGTTTAAGGTACCTTAGTCATCATCACCATCCCCTCGGCTTTGTTAATGAGCTAAAAGGTAAAATGTGACAACTTGGTGAAGAGCTATAATCCATACCAGATCACTGCCAAAAGCAAGAGTGTCTACAACTGGTTTACAAAGTTCGTCAGCATCTAGATCAACCCATTATTCTTGCCTATCGGTAGGTAGTCTAAATAAGTACTTATAATGAAGAAAGAATCCACTTTGGATGTTGTTCTTTCTGTACATTCTTCTTTTGTTATTAATGTAGCAGTAAATCTCTGATGTGGAACACAGAGTTGGTCTAAGGTAGGATCTCAGCAATGCTATTAATGAGACCTGTATCATGCGAGACTTGGAAGCAGAATGATCCAAGTACTTCTCAAATTAGTCATCTTCAAGGAAATTCTAGCCTGTGTGATAGAACAGTTATTTTTTGCTGGTCTTTGAGACTAGGTCTTACTATATAGCTCTGGGTGGCCTTGAGCTCATGATTTTCCTGCCTAAGCCTCTTGAGTGCTAAGACTACAAATGTGTGCTGTCATGTAGGATTAAAATAGTTTTTTTCTAAGTGGCACAAAAAATATTACAGAAAATTTAAAAGAGAGCAAAGAGTTAAAACACCAAAATTCCACTCCCTTCTGCAATAGGTTTATAATTTCTGAGAATTGTACTTTTTATAACTATGTCTTCACATAATTATATTCACAATAAAATACATTATTTATTTATTTATTTTGCTTAATATTCCACCATTCACATTGCTTCCTATGCTGTTATCTGGACTGTATACATACTAATTATAAATTTAGGAAGGGTATATCCTTTCTAGCCAGGTCTGTGAGGGGCACACACACACACATCTAAGGACCAGTCCTCTTATTCTACTGCAGACATCCTTAGCTCTGTTCCTTTTAGTTAACACAATCATCTGAATTCCTCTTCCCCTCCCCTGTGCTAGGGGCTGCAATTAAGGCATTATTACATTTTACGACTCCCTTTATGGAAATGAAAAATATTAAAGAGCTTAAATGACTCATCTAAGTTCCAAAACAAGTGACAGCCACAGTATAGCACTCCCCTTATTCCTACGGTGCACAGTGCTTCCTATTGTTCTGGCCGGCCTGCATATTTTCTCCATTTCCCTCATTGTAACAGGCCTCACCGCCCCACCCTCAAGCCTGCTCAGCCATCCAATCCATTCACTTGGACAAAGTACTACAAGTGGGGGTGAGAGCATGCAATTGAGGATGAATTGAAGTTCTTCTAGGGTAACTTAGAAGTTGGGAGGATGTCATATTGATGCTTCTAGCAGATATTTCTCAAGTTAACTGGAGAAGGTGCATTTTAAAATTAAAAAGAAGAAAACTGAACAGAGGTACAGAGATGAGGGGTAGGGAGAGAGAGAGAGAGAGAGAGAGAGAGAGAGAGAGAGAGAGAGAGAGAGAGAGAAGATGAAGATGCATAGAGAGACAGGTTGCTTAGCCTAAACTTCTCATTCCTATAGGCCTTCATTAATTTGTGAATTACTGCTTTATCTTTTCTATTGAAATGGGACAATAAACTTAAACTTGCTTAAGTTTAGGTTTAATTGTGTTTTTATGACTTGCAGCCACAAAAGTCCTAACTCACACAGTCCCTGTGACTGTAGGTAAGACATCACCACCAGTGAATGGTAGTCAGTAAAACAGACTCAGCCCTTCATAACTTATGAAAGCGAGCAAGAAGATATTTAGAAGAACACAGCAGGAACAGCATTTTAATTTCTTTTGAAAAACCATTAATATTTGGAAAAATCTTTGTCCACAGCAATCAATCATGTAGCTATTTCTCAGAAAGTAGTCAAATACACTTGTGGTTCATGTAATGGAGTTCTAGTCTACAATAGAAGGTGTCACACTCACACAGTGGTAACAACAGGTATAAACTTTATTGTCCTGGTCAATTATGATTCCTTAGGTATCCAAAAGGGGGAGAAAAAGAATGGAGAGATATAAGGATGAACTGCCACTACATTTCTGGACCATTTAAGCATCTTTGAAATGCTAGGTATGATGACACATTCCTTTAATCCTTGCCCCCTGGGAGATGAGTTTGAGGACAGTCTGGGATATACAGCAAGGTCTCCCTCACTCAACTAAAAAAAGAAAGAAAAGAAAAAGAGAAAAATTGTTTGGAGTAGCTTGGCGTTACCTACAGTTTGTTGTCTCTTAACTGAACAACACACTATTTGGATTGAATGAATTAGCCACAGTCAAAGCCGTTGATTGTGGAGGAGACTAACTTAAGAAGTCTGGAATTTACTATTTTATTATCAAAGCAATAGTATCCTTTTGAAGGAATCATGGAAGATAAGAGTTTTCTCTTCCAGACATCTTTCAAAAACATTTGCATTAAAGTATTAATTTTCTGTCAGAGAAAAATGAAATATAAATAAAATGCCCAAATATTTTAATGTTTAGATATACTCAAAACAATAATTGAACATTTCTTACTATGTAATACAGTAACAACGTAAAGTCTATGTTAGAGACCTGCAAATATCCTATGACAGAACAATTTGGCAAGTAAGTGATTTTATTAGCGCAAACAATGAGACTGTTAATGTCATGCATTAATAATTTATTTTAAATAATTGTGTGACTATCCTTTTAGTAACATATGGATTCCGCAGTACTTTTGTTTTATAACCTCATTCTTAAAAATTCCAGTGGCTTGTTTTCTTGTATTTCCCTTAATTGTGGTGATCTTAAACAGATCTTCAGTTTTAAATCTGCCAGTTGTTCTAATACAGATGCATAAATATATTTTCTCCAGTTGGCTCTTTATTACAAAGAAAGCTTGTTTGTGGGCACCATCAGGACATCTGCATCTTATTGGATTTAATTTTTAGTAATAAAGACCTCCCACATTACACATTCTTTCCAGCCTAAATTTGCCTGTGTGGGAAGCAAAGAACTGTCAGTCAGAGAGGAAAAAGTAAATCCATATGCTGTGGAGGATTCAGCTTCCTTGGCCACAATGAAAAGAGCTGTGTACATAGACAGTGCCCCAGCAGATCTCCTTTTGAATTTTTTTTTCCTCAAAAGTCTAGCTGCTGTGGTCTGAATGCTGGTACCCCTTCAAATTCGAATGTTGCAACTCAATCAGCAATATGATAGTCTTTAAGAGGGAGAGGCCTTTGGGAGGGTTCTTCCCTCATGTATGGAATTAAAACCCTTATTGAAAAGGCTTGAGGGAACTTATTAGTCCCCCTTTCCCTTCCACCATCTGAAGGCATGAGAAATTACATCTATGAGGAGCTGTTCCTCTTGGAAGGCATTGGCTCTACTGAAGCCTTGATTTTGGATTTCAGAGCTTTCCAAAATGAGCAATAAATCTGCTGCTTATAAATTACTCTGTCTAGCTGAGTGTGGTGGCACACACCTTTAATCCCAGCAGAGGCAGGCAAAGGTGTGAGTTTGAGGCCAGCCTGGTATACATAGTTCCAGGACAGCCAGAGCTATGTAGAGAGACCCTGTATCAAAACAAAACAAAACAAAACCAACCAACCAAACAAACAAAAAAACCCCAAAGCAAGCAAACAAACAACCAGAAAAAAAAAAAAAGATAAATTAACCTGTCTAAAGTATTTTCTTCTAGCAGCTATGGTAGGCTGACACTTGTTACAGCAGCAAAGGTAGGTATGTCCTAACCCAGTGCTTTTGATGCATCCTAGTTTATTGTGTCTAGCAAGCTATGGCTGCTTCACTAAAATTATGCACAAACATCCTATTTGCCTCACTCAGGCGCTGTTGTTCCTACATATTCCCAGTCTTTGGCTCTATCATTTTTTCCATTTTGGGGTCACCTCTACCCCTTATATTTGCTTACTGGTTTCATAGTCCAGTTGCCAGGACTGTCATCTAAGGACTTTGGCTCAGGTTATGAAATAGAACACTAAATCCATCCAAAATAGTCAAAACACAGTATCTGTAGCTTTAGAAAGGCAACAAACGGAAGAGGCCAGCGCAACTTGAACTGGTGACAGATTTTCACTTTTCAAGGTTAAACATACTATCCCCTGTGCAGAGGACAAGAATGGGAAACTTGATTGGCAGGAAGATACCGGAACAGCTCATTTCTCTGGGTCAATAGCAACAAAAGGATGGGGAGGGAATTGGGCACCACATACTCCACTATTAGTGTTTCTCCCTTCAGCACAAACAAGAACAACCTACTATCTTCCTTGTATTTCTACGAGCTTCTCATTAACCTTCCTCATCTCAGCCAGAGAAAAGATGCTTTTTGAAGTACATTGTGTCTATTTAAATTAATGGGTAAGTTTAAATTTGTTTTCACAAACTTCTTATTTGCTGCGGGGGCTACAAATATTGCTATGCTTTAGTCTTCAAAACTTTCTACCATTTTACATCCTCTGAGAAGACATCTACATGCTAGCTTCTGGCATCTACGGATGTGACCTTATCTGGAAGTCAACTCTTTGTAGATGGAATTAACAAGAGGTCATTCTTTAATAGAATGAGCCTCAATCTAATGACTGGTGCCTTCATCAGAAGAGGGAGTCACACAGGGACTCTGCCATGTGATGATGGAAGTAGAGGCTGAAGTGATGTGTCTAAGGTCACGGAATGCCAAGGAGCACTGGCAATCCTAGAAGTGATGAAGAGCCAGGAAGGATGCTTCTTTCTATGTCCTTGAGAAAAAGGAGAGTCTTGCCAACACTCTCACTTCAGACTCCAAGCTTCCAGAACTAGACAATAAATACACCTGTCGTTTGAACCACCCCTTGTGTGGTAATCTGTATGGCACTTTTAAGAAAGCAATATACTACTTAAGTCTAGTTAAGGAAGCAGAAATACGAACAATAAATTGTAACGGAGGGTCAGAGATCTACAGACATAAAGAAAGGAGACATACCTTTCCCAATGTCATGGACAGTAATTCTTAGAACAGCAGCTTTCCTATGTACAAACTTCATAAGCTATGTGATGTTTTTTTGTGGGTGTGTGTGGTGGGACTGAAGATGGGAAGTAGGGTCTCAAGCTAGGGAAGATATTTACCAGTGAGCTACCTGCTCAGTCCTGACTTTTCAGCATACTGTTGGTCACCTTAATCCTGGAGTTTCTGATTCTCAGTGACAGACCCTAGATGAAAAAAAAAAAAAAAATGATGTGGAGAGTGACTCAAGAGGAATTTAGTCACTGACCACTGGCCTGCCCAAGCTGATGTATGTGTATGCCTGGGCTAGCCCGCCAAGCCTGATGACTTGAGTTGGCTCCCTGGAATCCACATGGTAGAAGGGAGAAGTCTGATGACTTGAGTTGGATTCCTAGAATCCACATAGTAGAAGGAGAAAACTAGCCCCCCACCCCTAGTCTTCTTGCCTCTCTGAGACTTCTTCTCAGCATCGAAAGGCTTTCTTTGGCTCACCAAATGATCTCTGAAGTCTATTACAAGTGTAGCTTCATGTTTCTAATTCGGTAATATTTCTGATTCTTCTCCAATTGTAACCTATAATTAAAAAAAATGATTAGGCTAAGAGGAAAGACTCAGGGAATCTAGTGTCCCTCCTTCACTGCGTCCCTTTACACTCAGAAACAAGAAATGGACATTTTTTGATTCTCCAAGCTTCATTTTGGGTGCACGGAGTTGGAAGACAAACTAGGTCTCAGCTCACGAGCTGTTCAAACCTCCTTCTGGCTAGAGCACTTGAATAAATAACTGACACTTAATATCTGTCCGGGGACCTCAAATCCTGCAGGCGGTGGAACTGAGGGAATTCTGAGTTTCTGGGCCTCAGCAGTACCGGCCCGGATACTTTAAGTTCTTTAAGCTTGTTTCCATCTTGGTAGGTTGCTAGAAGCATGCAAAAATATTCAAAAGCACCGACACACGTGTGTCTCTAGGCACCTAGAGACATCACACACGGAGAGCCTCATCTTCAGGGGCTCCCGCGGGGCCGGGGCGCGCGGGGCGGAGCAGCCGGAAGTGCCGGCGCGCGCTGTCAGCGACGCCGGAAGTCCCCG